GTTGTTGCAATAATACTAGAACGGAGGAAGTATTATTATTATTATTATTATTATTATTATTATTATTATTATTATTATTATTATTATTATTATTATTATTATTATTATCATCATCATCATCATCATCATCATCATCATCATCATCATCATCAATTGACAATTATCTTAAGGGAACTATTATTTATATATAAGTTCCAAAGAGGCATATTACATTCAATTGATCAGAATTCTGTTTTCTTCTTCTTCTTTTGAAAAACTTCTAGTAAACACAATTACATTCAATGAGATTAGGATGGATCCCGGGGATGAATTAGTTCCTTAATTCCAATTGTAGTGGGGGATAATATTATCCTAAGGACAGAGATAAACTCGTCCTTTTCTAATTTCAATTGATTTCAGTCATTTGTATTTGATTAATAGTATTATTTTTTCGACACTTCTTTGTTTGGTTTGTGAAGGGTGGTAAACAATTATCCCAATGGTGGGAAATTGCACCCTTAATGATGGAAAACATTTTCCTTTACAAAACAAGGGAAGCCACATTTTCCTCCCTCTTCCTTTAACTTCCTTTTAACTTTTCTCTCATTCATCTTCAAATTTCCACTCCTAAATCAGATTTTTCTTAACTTTATTTATATGCAATCAAACAAATTGAGTTTTTCCTTAAAAATATATTTTCCTTAAAAACCAATTTTTCATTAAATATGTTTTACATGAAACAAAACAGAGCCTAGGTTCAAATAAATTTACGTTCATTAAGAATGTAAAATGAAGAGATGGAACACGCTATAAATAAGAAAACAAGTTTTAATTGTTGATTTCATATTACTCAAAACTAAAATTGGATTTTGTAGAACAGTCCTTCACAAGTTCACGGGTTACGTGCTTACGTCTTAATTTAAACACTTCCAATACAAGAATCTATGCTTAGTCGGTTCTCTTTCCAATTTTTCAACATTCACCCGCCATTTCAAAACCCTAACCTCTAACCACCATTAACGTTCATCCTTCTTCAATTCACCCAATTTTTCCAGAAATCTCAAATCACCGTCATAATTATCAGAAAATACTCTTTCATCTCCAACAATTCCTCTTTTTCTTCATCCGAAAATTTGTACAACATTAGCAAAAATAAAATTAAATCAAAGCGTCGAAAAAATGCCGATTAATCTGACGAAGAATTCGCTTTCAGCTATAATGGATGGCGATATCAACTCCAAACCGCTGGTTCAGGTGTTGGACATCAAGCCCATTGCTTCTAATCAGGAACGGTACCGTTTTCTCTTATCCGACACCGTTTCGACTCAGCAGGCGATGATTGCGACTCAGCTCAACGGCCGTGTTAAGTCTGGTGAAGTTCGTAAAGGTTCCGTCATTCAATTGATTGAATATATTTGTAGCGCCGTTCAAAATCGCAAGTATGTTTTTGATTAATTCTCTCACAAATTTTGATGGCGTTATATTTCAATTGTTGTTAGTAGTAATTTTGTTTAATTTGGAAAGAGGAGGAGAAATTCTGTTTGAAAATGATGTGATTATGCATAATTTGATGTTATTTTGGTTTGATAGAACTGAAAATGGCGTTTGAGTCGTTGTTTTTGGTTAGCATTGAGGTATCTAATAGCATGCGAAGAAGTATAGTTCTGGAATTTGTGTTTTGTTATGTCAACTTATGGAATTTTCAGCAGAAAATTCTAATAGGTGATTATTGTTCGGACCGGATTGTTGGAGAAGAGTGGAGTAACTGTTTGTCTATATGGAGAGGTAATGAGCTACGATGTACTAAGGTGTGAAGGTGTTGTTTGTGATACATTGTTGACATTGAGTTGGATCTGTGGTTGACCTATAAGATGAAAATTTGTTTTGATTGGTGACTTTCTCTCTTTAAAGAACGAGAGAAATTGAGAGAGGAGTGTGTTTCTGCCTTTTGTATATGCAATTGATTCCTATAATCATCGTGTAATCTTGATGTCTTGACATTGGTGTGCAAAATGCTTGCGGAGGAGAATAACACAGGTCAATAAGTTATGTTGATGATGTGACGTTTTGCAACTTGTAGGAGACATTTTGTTGGTAATTATTCCTCTGTAATCTCATAGAGAATGTCAGTTCAGGTTTTGGAATTGAAAGTTAAGGAAATACATAAGCTTTGTAAGTATCCTTGGGCATTTCATTAAGCAGTTATGGAGTTCTATGGCTTGAGCTTGTGTATATAGTTGAATCAGAGTAATTTTAGTAATTCACACATCCTGTTAATATTGCATGAAATTTCTGATACTTTTAAGCAGACCTAACGAAATTGGTGGCATTCTTTTCATTGCTTTTGGCTTATGTAGAGATTTTATCAGAAGAACATGAGTGATTGAAGTTTGAACACTTAACTGGCATCCTTGACAATTTAATTTTACAATACTTGTGCATGCTTCATGTTGTCTGATATTTCTGATACTTTTAAGCAGATCTAAATAAAAAGTGGCATTTTTTTCATTGCTGTTGGCTTATGTAGCGATTTTATCAGAAGAACATGAGTAGTGATTGAAATTTAACACTTTACTGGCATCCTTGACAATTTAATTCACTGTGATTGAAAATACTTGTGCATGCTTCATGTTGTGTGAGAACTTATTTGGCCATAATTTCTGCAGGATTATTGTCGTCCTGAACATGGAAACTATTATACCTGATTGTGATATAATAGGGAACCCACTGATGCCCTCTGGATCTGATTTTTCTGTTGGAAATGCATTGCCTAATAGTAATGTTATTAATCCTATCGGAGGAAGCAATACAAAAGTGGCCGCAGTTGGTAACAGTAACAATGCGCAAAATTTCAGACCGACTATTCAGCCTGCATACCAGCCACCCCCTAATTATAAAAATCATGGCCCTGTTGTGAAGAATGAGGCACCAGCACGTATACTACCAATTGCTGCATTAAATCCTTATCAGGGGCGTTGGGCTATTAAAGCAAGAGTCACAGCTAAAGGAGATCTTCGTCGTTATAACAATGCTAAAGGTGATGGGAAGGTGTTTTCCTTTGATCTCCTTGATTCAGATGGCGGTGAGATTCGTGTTACATGCTTTAATGCAGTTGTTGACCGCTTTTATGATGTTATTGAGGTTGGGAAGGTTTATATGATCTCAAAGGGTACCTTAAAACCTGTACAAAAGAACTTCAATCATCTGAAGAATGAGTGGGAGATTTTTCTGGAAGCAACTTCTACTGTTGATCTTTGCCCAGATGAAGATGTTTCCATACCCAAACAACAGTTTAACTTCCGACCTATTAGTGAAATTGAGGGTGCAGAAAACAATTCCATTTTAGACATTATTGGTGTTGTAATATCAGTTAATCCTTCAGTCCCCATTATGAGGAAGAATGGGATGGAAACACAGAGAAGAAACTTAAATTTGAAAGACATGTCAGGCAGAAGCGTTGAGCTAACCCTATGGGGAGACTTCTGCAACCGAGAAGGTCAGGACCTGCAAGAATTGGTTGATTCTGGGTACTTTCCCGTCTTGGCTGTGAAGGCTGCAAAGGTCAATGACTTCAGCGGAAAATCTGTTGGTACAATTTCTTCAACCCAGCTTTTTATTAACCCTGACATTCCTGAAGCTCACAGTTTGAATGAGTGGTTTCGTCGAGGGGGAAAGGATTGTGCTGCCCAGTCTATCTCTAGAGATGTTATGCCTCTTGGAGGAAAGAATGAGGTTCGCAAAACCATTTTACAGATCAAGGATGAAGGTCTTGGAAGGTCAGAAAAGCCGGACTGGGTTACAGTTAAGGCAACATTATCATTTATAAAAACAGATACCTTTTGTTACACAGCCTGTCCATTGATGATTGGTGATAGACAGTGCAGTAAGAAAGTCACAAAGTCGGGAAACACAAGATGGGTATGTGATCGATGCAATCAAGAATTTGAGGAGTGTGATTATCGCTATTTGCTACAAGCACAAATACAGGATCATTCAGGAGTGACCTGGGTAACTGCTTTTCAAGAAGCCGGGGAAGAAATCTTAGGCTGCTCTGCTAAAGAGCTGTACACTTTAAAATCTGAAGAGCAGGATGAAAGGTTTGCTGAGGCTATTCGCAGTAAGATCTTTGTTCCATTCCTTTTCAAGCTTAAGGTAAAAGAGGAAACTTATGGTGAAGAGCAGAGAGTAAAAACAGCTGTAATTAGAGCTGATAGAGTGGACTTTGCAGCTGAAAGCAGGTTTTTGATTGATATGATCATGAAGCACCGCAAACGATGAACATCAAGTTCTGAATTTAACTAGTGAAAAGTGAGACAATTTGCTACTACATATTCGATTCTGTTAGGTATTTTGTAGATGTTATATAAGCGGATTAAAACTTGCCAGCATCTAGTTGTAAGAAACAGTTGCACTAGTGTAATACTCATAGATAAGATCTATTCAAATTTGTGAGGGTTAATTGTGGATATAGTGAGAATATGGCTACAGACATTTATATGTATGCTTGTAGATGTTGTTTGGTACATCTTTTTTCCCCTTGTACGCTCTTTACTCATTTATCAAAGCAAAAATGAATTGGATCATCGTGATTTTTAACTGATTCACTGCAGACAGAAAATTTCTATTTAGCTTAATGTTGCTTTCCTTGCTGATATGATTTGTTTGTGTTAAGTCTGTTGACAGAAATTTTCTATTTAGCTTAATTGCAGATATGATTTGTTTGTGTTAGTCTGTTGATATGATATGTTTTCGCTATCTGTACCAAGTAGTATTTCTATTGGGCATATATATTACAAACTTTATATGTATTCCTGATCTAAACCCCCCCCCCCCTTCTTTTTCTACGACATGATATCCTTGGATTATTCGCATGCATGACCAGTCTAAGCTTAGCAATTAAATCAAGATTCACCGTGTTCGGACTGTGCTCTCTTGCTGTGGCCAAAGCTTGGCTTGACATAGTAATTCTTTCTTCATAAATACATAGATAATTTCAGGAAATTTTGTCATAATAACAGATGGTCAAATTTCCTTTTAAACTTTAAAATCTGTTAAGTAAATCTCAAGCAATAATACGAACTACGAAATACAAACCAAGGAGCTGAGCCATTATAAGCTCGGTCTGGACTTCAAAGCTAATCAAGCTGTCTCAAGCATAGTAAACTGAGGAGGAAATGCAGAAAATACATAGAGGCTAAAAGCTCACCACGAAATTGGATTTGAAAATACTCAGCGTCTACATAAACACGCCACAAATATTTTGTATTACATTTGCACTATTTGCAGCACAAATTTTTACACTTATTCTTGAGTGACAAGGAAGCTTCAAACAATCATATTTAACCCTTTAGTACAGAAAATCACACTTGCTTGTGCACCGTTAAACCTGTGAGAAAATCTGCAAGAAAAAACCAATCAGTCCACCATAGGAAACGATGGAGAATCCGCATGCATAGTTCCAAGTTACAGTGCAGAGCCTGTAGAATCACCAGCAGAATGAGGGCACTGTAGAATGCAAGAAAACCATTAAACTTGTGTGATCAGATTTAGCCATCTAGGCATTGGAAGCAGATGCAGGCGACCCAACATATGTTACACGAACATCCTGAGGCAGAAGTTGATATGTAATTCCTAATTCCTCAAATGTTTTTTTCAATTCCAGAACGAGATCAGAAGCTCTGCTGTTTTTCTCTGCAATGTTCTGGAAGTTAATAGTGTGGGTTACATAAAGAGCCATCTTAATCTTGTTCATGTCCACAATGTCGATCAACTGCACACTATGACATGGTCTCCAGTGCTGTGGTTTACTTTCTATATACCTGATCAACCAAGAAAGTATGCTGAAATGAGCACTCATCTCAAAAGTAAAGACACAAGCGGAAAGAAGAACAAAATACAGAAAATGTTACATATAGATGCAACATGGCTTTAGTGTACTGTGAGTGTGTATCTGTCCTGGGCAAAAAATTCTGACAACTTACGACTTAATTCTATCCTTCAGAGCAGCAATGGCCTCGACTGTAGTGGAGAAGTTAATTGCAAACTCCACTGAGTCATTCATATCTGGGCTCCGATAGAAATTGCTGATTGGTTTGGTTGCTAAAACAGTATTTGGATAGGATATTTTTTCATTATCATATCTCAAGAAGATTGTGTTCAAAATGTTCATCTCTTCAACAACCATCTGTCAGAAAATATCAACTGATTAACAAATGGAAGAAATCTAGCTCCAGAATGTAACATGATAAAATATTATGCATTTCTATGTTACCTGAACACCATCAATCACACAACGGTCACCTACATCAAATGGATGCATTACAAATACAAATATGATTGCCTCAAACACAGTCTTGAAGGCATTGCCAAATATAAATGTCGCGAGCAAGAGCTGACTTGTAACAAACACAAGTATTTTGGTGGTCAAAAATCCCATCACAAGAGTCCACACAATAGCTATAACAATTAACACCACGCTTGAAGCTAAAATATTCAATTCATCCACAGCTGTTTTAGTATCATCTAATGAATGAGCAAGTGATTTGCGCTCCATGTAAGCAGTAACCTGCAACCAAAAAATACTATGTAAGATTATGTCAACACTACTTAATCAAAACCTTTAAAGCTTCGTATATTAGACTTTTTGTTGGACAAAAGGACAATATTAACCAAATGCTCTCAAATTCAAAGGCTTACCACCCATTTCTCTAAGGCCGACTCCTTGATCTTACCAGTTTCAATATATCCATCAAACAAAGGAAGTACTTGGTTTAATTCACCGATTTTTATGAAACGCAAGAGATCTTCCTCTTCAATATAACTAGTTACACAAAATGATAAAACATTTACAGTAAATATTTAGAGTGACTTTACTAAGGTACTATATGATTATACTCAAAGACCTAGGAATACTGCCATAAAGTGAAAAATCTTACTCAAAACCAGGTTTTGCAACATTGTTGAAGATTTTGGAAGCAGCAACTTTTGCTCGCCATTCACTCTTGATCTCTTTACTTAGCTCACCCATGCCATCAACTTCACCTGAGTCAAGGAAACAGGAAGTAATAGACAGCTTTGTTCTCCTTACGAGTTTGATCAATCTTTTCATGGTCCATGCAGAGACGTTTTCTTGGTTTAGTTGTTGAAGCTTCTCCACATTAATAACCTCTTCTCTTATACCTTTATTATTTGTCCTTCGCTCTAAACTCAGCTGACTTAAATTTCTCGATATGGCTACTCTTGCTGCCTTCTCCATGATTGGAGGACCAGAAAGCATTTGAAGCACATATTGATGAAATATTGATTTTTGAATTCGATCAAAGAACCTCTTGACATGGAAAGATAAAGCTAAAGTCTTGATTAATGTAGTCTTCACTAGCCATATTACTGCCCCAAATAAACACCCGGCTATAGCTTTTGTAATATAATGTAATACTATGGTGGCTTCTCTTGACCTGTTGCTCCCATGAATGAACAACAAAATCCACGCGAGAAGAACTGAGCTCAGCCAAAAAAAAACTCGTACACCTCTCTTCAATCCATTGGCATAATAGGGAATTTTCTTCTTGAAAAGAAGTTTTCGTTCCACCAAGTAAACAATCACATTGATGAAATATTTCGCTATCAATCGACCACTAAACATCATTGTAAAGAGAACACACCACTTCCAAAGCTCTAAACTCCATATTGTGGTATTTTGCAAATTGTAGTCTATTAAACTAGCAATCAGCAAACACATCAAGCAAAGAAATACAACCAACTCCACGAAAACGAAAATTTTCAACCTCCTACGAAATTGGTGATTCCCTTGCTTGTCAATGGATTTGTAAACAACCTCATTAGTTTCTTCATCTTTTCCATGGGCATTTAATGGTGAGCTTTGGAAACCCGGAGTAGCATTTGGAATAGCCATACTAACTCTAGGATAAACCTGAGCCGGATTTGTATAAGGTTTGTTTGAACCCACCATATAAGTGCTTTGATTAGCCAAAGCTTCATCACCAGGATATGGTGGCTCAAAAAACCTTGATTTAGAATTTGCGTAAGCTGACCTTGCTAAAGCAGCACGTCTTCTGGTACGTTCATTTGGAAGTACAGGTTCAAACATGGGATTTACTATTGTAACTTCAGGATACATTTCAGTATTTGAGGGATAATTCCCCTGCTTTGGCAACTCTGCCAGTCACTTCCCTTTACTTTGTCGGATACTACTTTCTTAGCAAGAACGGATACGACAAGCCTACAACATCGGCAGGGGATGCTTTCATAAGAACTCAATCATCACAAGCACCAACAGCAACAATTTGGAGAAGATTCCACGAGAAGCAGGATTAGATGTACACAGCCTTATCCCTACAAAAACACGGACACTTTTTTTTTTTTTTTTGAGGGAACACGAGGACACTTTACAGAAACTCAATTTACTATAATAGTAATTATCTATAATCTATTACGGAGTATAAGCTGTATAACTTTGGTTGGTTTTATATCATAAGTTTAAGATGTACACAACCTTACTCCTACTCATCAACCAAAATGAGATGATATCTCTAACACAAACCCAAAAAAGCTCTAAGGAACAAGATAAATTTCTATCATGCAATATTCCACAGACATCTAATACATAGATTTTACAGAAAATATTAAGCACAAAAGACAGAAATTACCTTTTAGCTAGTTGATTAGCAGACAGATAGATGTCAGACCTCGAAATCCTCGATTTGCAGTTGCATTCCGTACTCCCAAACAAACATTTTATGGGATTGGATTGCAAGTTAAAGTACAACTTTGGTAAAGCAACTAACTATCTGCATTGACTAAAGAAGTCAATAAGTTGTGTAATTTTTAAATAATCTCAATTTGGCGGGTGGTGTGTTTAATAGTATGAGTAGCAGGTAGGAAGGTAATTGTGGCTTAAATTACAAAAAATTTTTTTTTTTTTTTTTGACACGTACAAAAAAATTATTCAATTCTATTTATAAATGTATGTAGTATGACGCCTAAAATTTGTACTTTTACTACATATTTTAAAACTATTGCACTACTTTATATAGTCTACCGACTACCATATAACTTCTACTACTAAATACTTTTAAAAAGACAACTTTGTGTTAATAGTTTATGCGTCATAACTTAAGTACAAGACACGCAACAATTACATTGAATTTCTTTTTTTGAAGGAAATTACATTGAAGATTTCATAGAACATAATTTTTTTTGAAAAAATGGTAATGTAAAGTACAACAATGCATAGTTGCAGGACGCCTAAATTACAAACTATTCCCGCCTAAGACGAAAATTTTGTCCGTCAACATATGACTTAGAAGGCTAGTTGGGAAATAGTATAGTATAACACTTGGAACATAATTTCATCATAACTGTACATTTCATCAGGATTTGGATATGCTACCACTTGCTCATGGGCCGGTGTATCTTCACAAAACCGTATGTAACCTTCTCTGTAGACAATTTTACTTAGTCCACCGCTGAGCCTGCCAAGAGACCTACACAAGAAAGGTTAATCAATTAGACATAGACGTAAGCAGGGAAAAGAAGTCTGTATCAACGAAATGTATACTTCAACCTAGAGGGCTTACTGAAAATGTAGAACAGAGAAATGGTCTGAGTTTCTGACTACTAGCAATTTAAAACATATTTTTAAGATGGGATATGAAGAGTAGTAAGGAATTGGTATGTACGAACTCTTTCCCTCAAAGCATAATTGCTTTGTCAGAAGTCGGAACTTTATAGTTCATATGCAAAAATACTCTTGCTTCCCTCACAAAAATGGGGTCCTATCTCAGACACTGATATATAGCTTGCAGCCATTCGGCACAGGCCACAACATTCTGCTCTGTATAAGCTCCTACACCCATTCCACTTCTAGAACAATGTTGAATTCCTAATCTCCATAACTGTTGCAATTACTGAGTGTACTCCCTCTATCTGAAATTAATTTTCGAACTGTCATAAATTTTTATAATTTATATATGAAGTGATTTTACAATAGTTCCTTCATAAAAATTGTGTTACAATTCCTCTCCATATCACTTTTTACTATATACATGCCTTGATTTATGCAAGAACATATTAGGAATATTCAATCATAATACATTACGGAATATTATTCCAAGTAAAATGATAACTTTTTCCAGACATCCTAAAAAGGGTTTTCCTTATCTTATGGTGGCAGAACATATTAAAGGCAAGAACTATACATACCAAGAGATTGAAATTATCTTGCAGAGTTGCAGTTGAAAACTTGATCAGCAATGGGAAAAAGAAGGAGATGCTGCCGGCCCCCCAACATGTGTAACATGCACATCCTGTGGCAGAAGATGATATATGATTCTCAACTCCTCGAAAATTTTCTTCAGCTCCAGGACGAGATCAGATCTTCTGATTCCTTTCTCTCCAATGTTCTGGAAGTTGATAGTGTGGTTGACATAAAGAACCATCTTAATCTTGTTCATGTCCACAATCTCTTTCAATTGTACACTATGGCCTAGTCGCCAGTGTTCAGGTTTGTTTTCTATATACCTGAGCCCAGTTAAAGTATGTTGATGTAAGCACCAACCTCAAAACCAAAAAAACACATGTAAAAAGGAATTTACTGAAGAGGTTAAATATAAAAGCCATGACTTCCAACTTATTGTGAGTTCTCTCCTTTTTCTCGTGTAAGAAAGTACAGATAACTTACGATTTTATTCTAGTCTTTAGAGCAGCAATGGTATCTACTGTAGTGGAGAAGTCAATTGCAAACTCAACTGAGTCACCCATTTCTGGGCTCCTATAGAAGTTGCTGATAGGTTTGGTTGCCAAAACAGAATTTGGATAGGTGATCTTTTCGTTATCATATCTTAAGAATATTGTGGTCAAGATGTTCATCTCTTCAACAACCATCTGCCAAAAAAGCTCAATCGGTTCAAGTTAATGAGATCGAGCAGCAGAATCCAATCTAGGTCATGTAATAGGCATTTTCAGTTTACCTGAACACCATCAATCACACAACGGTCACCCACATCGAAAGGATGCATTATAAATACAAATATGATTGCTTCAAAAACAGTCTTGACGGAATTGCCAAACATAAATGCCACAAGTAGCAATTGAGATGAGATAAAGACAAGTATTTTGGTGTCCAAAAATCCCATCATAAGATTCCACACAATAACCATAATAATCACCACCACGCCTGAAGCTATTCTATTCAACTCCTCTACAGCGGTTTTTGTATCATTTAATGAATGAGCAAGTGATTTACGCTCCAAGTAAGAATTAACCTGCAACCAATGAATTTGTAAGAGCCATGTCTTTAATAAAAACTCAAAGTAACCATATTAACCTGCATTTAGAAGTTAGTACTCTGAATTTAAGACTCGTCTCTATAATACTTTTGTCGTATTCAACATCTTTACAGCTGTGTGTTGAAGATGTCTTGCAGATAAAATAAACATATTTCAGAATCAGTGTCTTACCACCCATTTCTTTAAAACTGTTTTCCTGATCCTTGCTGTTTCAACAGCACCTTCAAATAAGGGAAATACTTGGTTTACTTCATCCATTTTCATAAAACGTAAGAGATCTTCTTCATCAATATACCTATGTCCACAAAATAATAAGAAGTTAGACTAATAGTTTCAGAGCGAGCTCAGAGATACAGAGGAGAATTGCCAGAAGGTGCATTATCTTACTTGTAGCCAGGTTTAGCAACATTTTTGAAGATCTTAAGAGCAGAAACTTTTGCTTCCCATTCACTTGTGATCTCTTTATTTTGCTCACCCGTCTCATCATCTTCATCATAATCAAGGGTATTAGATATAGTAGACAGCTTTGTTCTCCTTATGACATCAATTAACCCTTTCATGGTCCAAGCAGAAACTTTATCTTGGTTTATTTTGTGAAGCTTCTCTACATTGATAACTTCTTCTTTCACCCCTGCACTTTTTGTCATTCGTTCTAAACTTAACTGACCACTAGTCCTTGATCTGGTCAAACTTTGTGCCATCTCCATGCATGGAGGCCCGGAAAGTGTTTGAAGAACATACTGATCAAATAAAGACTCCTGAATTCGATCAAAAAACCTCTTGACATGGAATGATAAAGCTAAAAGTTTGATCAGTACAGTCTTCAGTAGCCATATTCCAGCCCCAACTAAAAACCCAGCAATAGCCATTGTAATATAATGTAATACTTTTTTGGTCTTCCTTGATCTGTTGGTCCCATGCGTAAACAACAAAATCCATGCTAGAAGAACAAAACTCAACCAGAGGAATACTCGTAAACTTTTCTTTAGTCCATATACAAAATACAGAACTTTCTTCTTAAGCAACAGTTTTTGTTCCACCAAGTATACAAGAATGTTAATGAACCATCCTGTTACCAATCGACCACAAAATATTACTATGACAAAAACACACCATTTCCAAAGTCTTAAACTCCACAACGCGGTACCTTTCAATTGGTTGATAGTCAAGCTAGCGATTAACAAACCCATCAAGCTAATGAACACTATCCACTCTAATAAAGCAAAAAATTTCAATCTCTTACGAGATTTTTGATTCAATTGAAGGTCAATGGATTTGTAAACATCCTCATCTTCCTCTTCTTCATTTCCTAAGACTGAAAAAGGTGATTTTGGGATGCCTACTGGAGTTCCTACACTAACTCTAGGAGACGCCTTAGGTGTTCTGACAGGTGTTTTTGGACCCACTAAATAAGTGGTTTCATCAACCAAAGCTTCATCACTAGGATATGGTGGCTCAACTAATCTTGATTTAGTTTTCGACCTAGCAAGAGAAGTGCGCTTTCTCATGAGCTCATTTGGAACCTTAGGATGTCTTTGGGGTGTTGAAATGGGGCTTAACTTTGTGATTTCAGGAGACATTGGGGTAAACATAAAACTTTTTCCTTGGTCTGACAACATAGTGCTTTGGCCTGGTGACTTAGTGCTATCTGCTGCTACTCCAGCAGCAACTATAGATAATACAACATCAGTTTTATCTTGATAACTACTACCCTCCATTGTAACTACACAGACTCAAATATACACGATAATTACCCAGAATAAACAGATGCTCTTTCAAAGAAACTCAAACAACTACTATTATAACAACACAAAAGAAAAGTCAATCACCAATCTGGTGAGCTCCCATGAAGCCCCCACGCATGGGCCGCACCCGTCAATACGAGAGAGTTCAGACCACTTACAAACCCAAATGAGGTAATCACTAATGCATCAATCAATCATCCAAATACATGTTACTCTTTACAAGGAATAAACAAAATTTCAGTAAACTACAAACCTCCAAGAATAACCAATTCTGCTCATCCAATCATTCCCAAAATCACCTGACAAACAACATTCTAATATTAGAACTTTTTTGCAATTATTAACAAGCAATCAATTAACTTACATAAATTAAATGTTATATAAGTGCAACTTTGACTAACCAGAAAGTTATTACTTCCCAATTTGAAGGAACATGGTTTTTCTAGCAAATTTTTTCTGGGTATGAAATTCAAATTGCACAAATGATAAGAAAAATCTTGAGCAGCAACTATATAATATAATTTGGGCAATATTTTAAAGAATGTGAAAATGGCGGTGGGTATGTACAGGCTACAGGGTACTAGTGGACATTGGCTAAAGTGCTAATACGTCAGAAAAAACTACCAAACTATTAATTTATTAAGCTCATGGAATGTATGATAGAATATTGTACTTCAGTTATCAAATTCAAATTCATATGATTAGATTATATAATATGTATTTCAACCCCCTTCTGTTTAATTAGTCAACAAAAAACAACACCTACTATTCTGGGTGGCTAAATAATGTCCAGCTAAGTGTAGCTATCACGGTTTCATCATTACTTTTAGTGAGACCAGGGTCTTGTGTAGCCATGTGGGTCATTACTTCTTATAGTATCCGGTATCCCTCTCCAAGTCTTCATGAAGTTGCAAATAAGGATGGCACCTTTAGCATGGCATGGTCCAGTATGAAAAAAGAACGATAGGCTTGGCCCTCGGGGTAGATACAAAATGTCACGTTATTGTGCATGCCGGGTTGTGTGCCACATTTTTTCGGAAAATTACAACATGACCCAACTTGACAAAACAGACTAAAATAAGTGAACTTTGTTTGAGGCATGCAAGCATACATGACAGAATGACACATGTGGTTGGATAGTTGGATCGTGCCTAGGCCACCCTTCGAAACAGCATGACATGTAGTTAGTGGGTTCGACTGTGGGTCAAGTCTAGCCAGAACAAGGCATATGGGTTGGGCACAAGGCACAGCCCACAAACACCTTTAGGTTCAAGGAAGGTTTCATACCTTGGAGCTTGGAAAGTGTAGATAAAATTCTTTTTGCAGGAAAGATATCCATGATGTGAGATCAAAACACATCTATAAAACATAACACACATTAAACATACCAGAGGGTGCTTACAGCCTATAATCCAAATACTCATCGATTCTGTACTCTGTTAAGCTTCCTCCCCTTTGTTTCCTTCCTCTCTCAAAATGAAACTGAGATGGAAACTCCACATCAGAATATCCTCCCATTCTAAAAATATCAACTCGATCATATAAAATTTCAGCTACATCATCATGCTGCTCAGCATCACTTCAATCAGCTGATAAATTTCCCCTTCTGTTGGTGGACCTTGCACTGATGTACACACCAATATGCTGCCAGACCATATAAGATAAATCTTCAGAGAAGATCAATGCTTAGCACCATCTTCCACAATAATGGTCATCAAGAAATTGGTCACACAAACATAGATAACAACATAGAAATTCACATCATAGGAAGATTCCGAAGATTGGCATACATTGATATATATAACTTTGTAAAGCTTGAATGCATGGGTGCATGACATCAAGCTAGTTAGTAATGCCTCTAAGAGATGAACAGTTTTAGCCAGAAGCAGAGATGACTTGAGGCATACATAAATCATGTTCCTCACTCCGTGATAAATTCATCATGTCGTTCAATTGAAGGTTAATAAATGACATACATGGTGCTTTAGCCTCCTTTACATGTTGCTGAGTTGTGCCCATAGCATTGACATTTGCTGCACTTAATGGTTTTGCTTCTCTTGCCCTTCCTTTCTTCATCTTCATCCCTTCTTCTCTCTCTACAAGGCTTGCTAACTCCTCTTTTCATGGCAGGAGGTTCAATTTTAGGCATGTCAAAGTCTGGCCATTGATCATTGTCAGGGATGGAGTTGATTCCACCAGCATATGCAGCTTTGTACCTTCTCACAGAGTACCATTCATGTACAAACTGTTTTGGATCAAGCCTAGCATGCAAGATGGCTCTCATGCCATGCCTGCAAGGAATTCTAGAAATTTGTCATACCCCACATAGGCACCTTTTTTCAGCAAAACTGACAGGGAGCACTGATTTTCCATTAGTGACCTCATACCCATCAGCACTAGGGTATGCCTTGCAACACCTGGGCTCTTGAGTTGTCACTTTAAGTCTGGCCTTAAAGCTTGGACTTATATCATCATCTATCTAGTTTGCAGAATCTTGCTTCCTAGTGCACATCCTGACCATTGTTGTTCTCCTAATTCCTAACATTAATCACCACAAATGTTAATGCTACATTCACCAATATAGACACATTACATGTACATAACAAAGAATATGTTACCTTCTAACAAAGTCAGAACATGTCTTGCTCTGTCCATACCCAATGTGGCATTAAAGCATTTCACAAAGTTGCTTTTGTTTACATCACATTTGATAGCCTCATTGAATTTGTGCTTGGTCCATGTTGATTGGTCCCCAACTTTAGATGACCATATCAAAGCAGCTGGATTGACCTTCTGCAGCTGTTTCATGGATTTCTTGAATGTGAACTCAGTATAGGCCCCACAAGCCCTCTAGAACAAGCTAAACATCAAAGGACCAGGGAATGGTTTCTTCCAATTCTTTACCAAGTGCTTGTAGCAATATCTTCTTCCAGCCTTTGGCCACAACTTAGTTAATGCAGCATCAATACCCTACACAAAAAAAGATAGATGTAAGACAAAGAAATGCTTAAGGAAGTTAACAAAGAAAATTAAGGCTAAGTTTCATACCTTCTGTCTGTTTGAGATAATGCACCACTCATAACCTCTCCCACTGTCTTTGAGCACGCAAGTTCTTCAAATGCCACACAAAGAACTTCCAATTATCTATGTCCTCTACTGATATAATTGCCCAAGCAAAGGGGAATAACTCATTGTTTGCATCCAGTGCTACTGTAGATAATAGGACATCACCATAATTCCCCTTTAAGTGAGCCCCATCCACACCTATGAAGCTCCTACAGCCAGCTAGCAACCCATCTATACAGCCTTTAAATGATATGAAGATACCTAGGAAATGCAGAGGTCTGTCAATATGATCTTGCAGTGTCCAAGCACAAAATGTAGAAGAACTTGGGTTTGTTGATCTCACCATTTCATAGTAGTCAGGAAGTTGGGCATATGAGATGTCATGACCCCCATTAATATCCCTCAGAGCCTTTGACCTCATCTTGTATAGAGTACATGCAGACATTTGTACTCCATATCTTTGCCAAAGTAACTGGTTCAATGATTTGGCAGGGATATCATTATTGGCTCTTATATCCTCAAGCAACACTCTTGCAGTCCACTTGGTAGACACCATAGGATTCTTCAACTATAAACCAGAACAAGTATGCTCCATGTTCTGAATGGACTTGATTGCCCATGTGACACCATCAAGAAGTCTAGATGCATGCAGCCTCCACTCACAGTTACTTGCAGAACATTTAACTGTCCACCTCAAATTAGATGCCTTGAGCACAACTACAGAAAACCCACTTTGTATGCAATAATCCCTCACAACATCTCTCAAATGTTGTTTATGTGTGAATAATTGCCATGGTTTGATGACAATTTTGCCAAACTCCTCATCATTGTACAACTCTCCATTTTTGTACAATTTTGCAAAGTAATCTTCAGCTTCATTGTCATTCTCCCACACAGGGTCTTCCGAAGGATCAAAGTTGTCAACAACTAGTCCTACATCATCTTCATCCATTTCATCTTCATCTTCATTTTCCTGATCTACATTATCATCATCCTGATATTCAAATTCTTCAGAATCAAATTCACCACCATCCCCTTCATCCCCTTCATCACTCAGAATAGCTTCATCTTCACCCAAACTCACAGTAAGTTGGTTTGATGGCTCAGTTGCTTCATCAAAACTTGTTCTGACAATCAATCCCCACCTCTTAGTTGTAGTCCTTGGAATTCTTTTACCAAATGTGTTAGATGTCTTAGAAGATTTAGAAGATGTCACTATCTCCTCAGAGGGCCCTGAAGCTTACCTTGTAATAACATTCATCTCAGACAGAGGTGGTGCAATCACATCTATCCTATCTTCTGTCTGACCCTCACTTTGGAACCTTTTTCTTGGACTTCTTCTGAGTACCTGGACTGGTTTGGCTTGTTCTATAGGTGGTAACCCTAATTCTTTCCTTATCTCTTATTCTCTCTTCTCATACCTCTCCCTAGCCAACCTCTCAGCCTCAGTCTCTACTGCATTCTCTAGTTGCTTCCTATACCATTCCTTCAAGTCTCTTTCAGGTCCACTATGCCATATCATACCTCCTGTCAGCTTGACAGGAGCTTCTTCCCCTTTAGTTCTACCCCTACCTCTCCCTCTAGGTCTCCCCCTCCCTCTTCCTTTCCCCCTACTCATATAGTATTCTTGTTCTTCTTCCATTTCCCTCATCAAATCAGCCAGGTATCATCACTAGGTACTACATTATATATTTCAACTATAGGGTTTTCAACAGGTTCACCATCACTTTCATCATCAGCTTCATTATCTCCCTCATTAACAAGTTCAGGAATAGGGTCTGGAATTTAGTCTACAGGTTCTCTGACATTGGATGAAGTGTTTCTCCTAGGGGTTAGTTTCTTAGGTCTCTCAACATCTATCACATGTTGACTTGAACTACCCTCTAGCTTTCTTAGACTTCTCCTAGGGATTCCCTTTTCAGGATCACATTTTGTCCGACCCAACTGTCCCACACTTTGTTTCAACTAAGCAACTATCCTACTTGCCCTCAAAGTCCTAGCAACCTTCAATAACTCATTTGGTGAATTAGCCTTACCCACCCATATATATATAAGGTCTTCCATTTAATTTAGTAAACATTTTCATTAAGTCTTGATCATTAATCAAGTTTCATTTTGTGAACATAAGCAAAACTAGCATGTTTTGGAGTTGGTTTCTTACTCTCAACAGCCTTATCCCAATACTCTATCACTAGGTCAACTAGATTGACTGGTCAATATCCTCAACTACCACATCAACCTCAACACCCTTATACTGAAAGCTCAACACCACCGCATCACTCATTCTAACACCATACCATATTCCAAGCACAAACACAGACAAGCAAGTCCATAACACAACATCAGTAAACAAGACAACAAAAAATTTCATTTTAGGGCATAATACTTCAATACAACCACATAAAACATGCAACAAAACGATCATGCCAAAACAAAGTACATAACATGCACAACTCAAACATTATATAAAAATTAGGGTTTTAGATGCATACCTGAACTTCTTTTTGGCAAGATGATGCAGAAAGATTCGACCTTTCACCAGGTACCCCCGATTCTTAGCCCAAACTTGAATACCCTAGTCGCAATTTTCGAAATCAAAAAAGTTTGAATCCCCCTTTACTTCAACCCAGAAGAAAAATGACTATCACCGACTATTTTTTATGGTATTATAGAGTTCGCATTCAATGCTCTGCGTTTTTTTGTGTCTCGATGAACCTTTTGATGGGAAAGCTACCAAAAGGAAGAAGATGAAGAGTAATGAAGAGGGAGAAAGAAGGAGAGAGAGATAAATTGAGGGAATTAAAATCGGAAGGTTGGGTGAAATAAAAAGGGGGCATTTATGTAATTTCGCTATTTGGTTACCCATGGTTTAATTTTATGTTAAAACACCATCATTAATGTCATCATTAAGGGAAAAAAGATAAGTATTGTCATTTTGTATAATCCAAAAAAAAGAGGGGTTACCATTGGTGCGTAGCAGAAGTTGGGGGTCACCGTTGAGAATATCCCTTTTTAATTTTATTTTTATAGTTGTAGGGGGAAACGCTTGATTTCTGGAACGTTTTAGGGGAGAACGTTTGAAATTTTAGAACCCCTAGAACATTCTAAAATTTTAGGTGTTCATGGAGAAACACATTTTCTCATGTATTTTTTCTATTTTTTTATCTTTTTTTTTATTTGGGTAAAACATCTCTAATATATATTGTTTACACATTAATGAGGTTTTATGAGATTCTTTTTAATTTTATCTTTCACATATCAATTTTTACAATTTTTACTTATTGATATTGGTTAAAAATTTGCATTGTCAAGATGTCAAGCATAAAATAGAAATGTTTAATAGTCTATGGAGTAAATAAAAACGAATTACTCCTCATATTTTATCCATTTTCCTTTGTTTGATTTATGAAAGGGGTTGAAAACAATTAGCTGAAATTGATGTAGGATATGATGGAACTATAAGTAAGCTCCAACTCATTTGAAAAGGAATTTGAATTTGTTGTTGCTAATACTTGATATTTTGAAGTAATAATATTGACACAATTTTGACTTTGTCTTTGAATTAGAGAAAATACAAGTTGATATCCTATATTAACAAAACTTGTTAATATAAGGTTATTTTCGTCATTTTTTGTTGTAAACTAGTATCAATATAACCTCAATAAAGCTTATAAACAGTAGAATAACTTGGAGAATCAACGGCGTTAACTCTTGTGGCTGCCTTCAATGGAGAATGAAAAGCTCATCTTTAATGGAGAAGTAGTGAAAGCTCGTCTTTAATGGAAAAAATAATGGAGGGGTTGAACACCTACCCTTTGGGGTTAATTACACCCTAAATTACTCCTTTTTAATTAGGGTTTTTGTTTAATTCGGCGGCGAAGCCGACGGTAGTGTTTGAGATTCGCCTTCGGTAGTGTTTAAGACTCGAAGCACCTTGTTGTTTGAGTATGGGGGCGGGTCGGGCTGATTGTCGTGACGGCGAGGCAGAGGAGAAAGAATGCTTGTGAAGAAGAGAGGTGGGTCTTCTCTTTTTAACTTTGTTCACTTCCTCCATTGTCAAAGGGTTCCAGATCTTTATCTCTTTTTTGCTTTGTTTTTCCATTGTCAAAGGGGGAGAGGTGGGTCTTCATCTCTTTTTAATTTGGCTTCATTCCTCCATTGTCAGGGAGAGAGGTGGGTTTAACTTTGGGGGCAATTATGGAAGTTTGTTACGGAGTGTATGACAATATTTGTCCACGTCATCACCAAAGGAAAGCTACAATATTTTAAAAATATTTGTGAGGATATAAACACATCTTTGTTAATATAGAATATAAATGGGGGTTGGCTCTTTGAATTATGTAGAGATGAATTCAGCAAGGGGTCATTGAGTTTAAGAAAAGTAAGATATCATAGGTGTACTTGGAAAAAGATTAGGTTTTTTCTTCCATCAAAGAGAACAATGGAAAATTGATCTTACATGCTCCAAGTTTTAGTTTTCAACCAAAAGAGACAAGAACTTTTTTGTTATGATCTTACATAAATGACTATCTTTGATGGTCTAAGGGAAGATTAAAAAAATAATGTTATGAAGAATCAAGATCTCTCAGAATTTTGATAATACATTACGCGACTGGTCATATTCTTTGACCAATGCTGACAAAAGAGAGTTAGAATTGTTTCATGTCAGGGGTTTACTAGCTGACCGGAAAGCCATCAGGAAGGGCTCTCTAGTACTGCTGCAGGTAAAAACCCGCTTTGAGTAGCCCCCGTGACACAAAACAGGCACCGTGTCACGGTGGCCTTCTGCCGTGACACGGTGGAATCTGCAAAAATTTTTTTTGTTGCAGATTTGGTTGATAGAGCGTTTAGAACTATTTGAAGCCCCCGACGATATTGAAAAATATGGCCCTAACGATGTAGTCCGCAGGAAGAAGAATTACTCTGTGAACATGTCGTATGAAGACTGGAAAAATTTCTTTGCAAAGAGAGAATTTTCCATTCGTTGGGTGGTGCCTTGGTGGAGGCTCACTAGGATGGTTGGTACGAATGATGCTCCGTATTGCCGTGTTCCTAGTATTTCAAGACTGACTTTTTATTGTCCCTCTCGACTGATGCGACAGTATGGACTTGAACAAGTTGTTCCACGCTACAACGATAGTCCTCGTGAAGTATCGTTGCATGAAAGTAATGTTCATAAATACGAGACTTATTGGATTGGAAGACCTTTGTGTAGATCGAGATTTTTCATTTTCTAAAGATAATAATTTACTTAGCAAAGGTATAAAGTGAAAGAGAATGAGATTGAAAAAGTTATGTTGGGATTCATTTCAGCCGTCTATAGAGACTCCAAAAGTGCATCAGATTTTTATATACTAGGAATTGCATTGGTACAATAAGAATTTGCCTCGGTTAAGGTTTTCAGCTTTTAGATGTTCGGTGTTTTTGAGAACAACAAGATAAATAAAAAGAGTAAAAGCTCTAAAACGGTCATAATCAGCCTACTTATATAGGTTTAAAACTTCTTTTTTTCTTCCTCTTTATTCAAAGGCTTTACCCAAACCCACAAGTAGCCTTTTGCATTAATTACAGGTTTACAACAAACTAATAGATTTTTTACAAGTTTACAACAAACTAGTAAATAAATCAGGTTCTCCTTCAATTAGACTCCTCATAAGTGCTTAATCTTATCCAATTTCCAACATTTTTTAAATACTACATGCATGTAATCGTGTCTAAACAAAATAAACAAAATTATTCATACAAGCTGAATTTGATTCAATACCTAAAATGTAATGATTCTCGAGCTAATCAAATTAAATGGCTAACTTTTAATTTGACCCATAAACATCTATCAATTTTTTTATTATTTTTCATTTATATATATAAATGGTGTCTAGAGTAAGGTCAATTTTTGGCCCAACTAGTCACCAATCGCGTGTGTTAATTTTTCTTTTAGTAGTGTATCCTCTTCATTAATCAATATCTACTTTATTTATACTAGAAAAGTACCAAATAGTTGAGGACAACCTAGGAGAAGATATATATTCACACATCAGAAAAAGATCTAATACCAGAAAACTAGATTTTTATTATCCAGCTTTTTGTTGCTCAAGCTTCACATCACCCACAAAAGAAAACAGGGGTTTTCACAAGGACTTGTAAATGAAAGCAATTATGTCATATCTCTGAGTCCTAGTATGTGACAATAATTATGAGAGTTACAAGAGGTGGACCCATAATATCCTTCTTAAATTATCGGACAAGAAATTTATAAATGGATATTATCGGTTGAATTCTTCAATTTTAATACAATGACAAATAATTGAATAGAGAAGGCGTACATTGTACATCTGATGAACATCAAGGATAAAATCAAAGAACATGAAGAAATAAAAGAACATAAAGCTTACTCCGTAAAAGGTGGACGTAGGTGGGGTCCCGGGTGACAACGACTTAAAATTAAGATATTTTGATAATATAAAAAGTTATGTTTGCATAATTATTCACTAAATGTCCCTCCAAACTAAGTATCTTAGATTTGCCTCTGTCCGACCATTTGATCCCAATAAAAATTCAGAAATTACAATTTCATCCTACTAAATATATTTGTATTTTTTTTCCGAATCCTCACTAGGGGAACCTCTAAGAGGTCCCTGAAACAAAAAACAGATCTAGTTCATACCCTTTCTATTTACAAAATAAATTCACAACAACCTAAACAAAATAAAAATTAATGTCAGCCGTCCTTGTTTGGTAGCACATATAGCAAATAAAGCTTTGTCCTCACTTCCATGATGATTCTACAGTCTTTGGAAACCGCAAATCAAATCAAACAAAATTTCCTTAAACTCTACTTTAACAACCCCTTCATATAACATCAACCTGCAGAATATTTTTAATGAATCTTTACTTGTTAAACAAAAAATAACCCAGAAAACAAAACCAACAAAATAAAATGAGTGATCCATCACACTATCATATAGAACCTCCATCACTAGGCGAGCAACAGCCCGCTCACTACAATCTGAGCATGTTATACTGCGGATTCTTCGTCGTCGTGACTGCAGGACTTATCTTAGCTATCTATCATTGTTTAGCACTTAACTGGTGCACTGACAACCCGTCCTCTTCTTGGTCAAGAAACAGGGAAGTTGTCGGAACTGCTCGGAAGCAGTTCAATGGTCGGAAAATTGTGGAGTTGGATTCAACTCTATATAAGTACAAAAGTAGTCAATCAGAAGAAGGTGACAGTAGTTGTTATGAAGAGTGTGTAGTGTGTTTGTCAGTGTTTGAAGAAGGGGAAGATGTTAGGGAGTTGGTTAGATGTAAGCACTCTTTTCATGCTCCTTGTATTGATATGTGGCTATATTCGCATTTTGATTGTCCGCTTTGTCGAGCACCGGTGGGTGATTGTGGTGGTCGAAACATCGGTGTTGCTCGGTCTGAGAATTCAGGTGCAGGTTTATCAGATTCAGGTTTACTTCCTGTATAATTATAGATGTCTTGGTTTCTTCTTTTATGTGCTTAAGTTTAGTTTTGATTTTATTCTAGATATCTAATTATCTCTTGGTGTTGTCTTAGTTTTTATAAAGAATGTTCAAAGTAGACAAGTAGTGTTGTCATTAAGCCATATACTTCAATTATACAAACTCGGAAAATTATGGATGAATTTGAAGTCCTTCTATATTACTGGATTACATTCCACTTTATAACTTAAGAACCAAAGTAATACACTAAGGGTTACTAATTTGGTGTCAATTTTTGTAAGAAAAAACACATCTATTAGTTGCAATGCTACATCTTACACGACGCTTCTTGTTTCAAAATATTATCCATGTTACTGATATACGTATTTAGTGAGTTTCATTAGCTAGCAATTGCCAAACTGAAACCTATCACCCATCTTGCCGATACACATAAATTTTGGAATTGCCAAATTGAAAATTAAGCCTTCAATTTGTTGCATAATTCATAAATTCAACAGCATTACACCATATTTTAGATGCAGTTCTTCATAATTGCAGGTCAATTTCAAAAAAATATTGTACGTATTAACTTATACTAAAAGCAAATCTTTCCATGACACTTGTTATTATCTTGTAAAAACGCCTTTTTCGCTTTTTTTTTTTTTTTTTTTTTTTTTTTTGCAAAATCTTAATGTAAACTATTTGTATCTTATGATATTTTCTTTCCGGTTCGACAATCATATTCCATATATACCCAAATGAAATATATATGAATATATTTTATATACTTTATGTAATATTTTGAAATATTATTGTCAGAAATATTTAACCATGCATTGCACGTATATATATATATATATATATATATATATATATATATATATATATCGCTAAGATATCAGAAAAATATCGAAACCGAGTGCGTAAATATCAACAACAATTATTCTTCTTATTATGATTTTTTTATATAGAATTGAAAGTTCAACAATTCAGTCCCTATCAGTATGAGTAGTTTTTATGGTTAATAAGGGGTTGCATATTTATAATTCCTATCAGCAAGCTAACTTTGACATTGTCAACCTTGGTACAAAGAGCAACACTTGTACATATATAAAGCTGGCGGCTCCAGTATACGCTATCATCCTTCATCAGAATCTGAAAAGAAAAAAACAGAAGGCAGGATAGAGAACGACTGTCAATTTGTCCGTACCAGCTGGTAAAATCTGAATTTGAAGCCTTGGTTTCCCTTGTAGCTAAAGATGAACACCACTGCTTTTGCCGGAAAACTCAACCAAAACAGTACCAAACATAGCAATTTCAACCCACGAGGTGGACGAATGTCCCAAGTGCCAGGAAGAAGATGACTCGAAGGCTAGCTATAGAGTGATATTACAACTATTTGCTAACGATATAAAACAATTGAGAGAAGGTAACAAGATCAACAACAGAACGAAGCAAAAGATGACATATGCAAGAACAATTCTTTCAGTCATCAGTATCAGCTAAATTAAAACATGGCAGTGCACAGAAAAGCAATACAAAAATAAGAAAAATTCAGAAAGAGAAAAAAAAAAAAAAAAAAAAAAACCTTTTTATGCATTCTTCAGATCGCTAAGTAATCTAGTTGCTACTCCTAAATAAAAATTACACATACCATAGTCAGAGAACATGGAAAATATGGGCAAAAAAATGTATATATATTCATATGTACTCTATTGAGTGGTAATAACTTGATAAACATCATCTATTTTACCTCACCAGGCAAATGCAACTTCATTAGGAAGTAAATCAATCTAAAAGTTTATTATATACACAAACAAAATAAAGTCAGCTGGCATTGCATCAAACATTAAGCTGAAAATTTTGCTCAAAATAGACATCATATATTGAACTCTCTTGTTTAAAGTATGGACTAATGTGACACATGAGACTACATTCTTCTCAAGTTATCCAACCTTGCTTGCAAGTCATCATCAATCCCACCATCATCATTACCAGTAGTTGTTGCTTCAGCCTGGGCAACCTTGCCCTTAGCTGCAGGTGCAGCCACTGCACCTGATGGTGCGTTCACAAGCTGCAAACAAATCATTGTCAGCAAAACCAGTTGAATTCATTGGCGAGGTAACTTCATCAGAGAGAAAAAAATTGCCAAAGTACTGTGTAAAATACCTCTTGGTTGACATCGATACCAATTTCATCAAGCACCTGGTTAACAAGCTCATCTGTTTCATCCTCCTCTTCATCTCCCTCCAAAGCGTCGTCAATTGCATCTCCCATGACTTCGCTGGTGAGCTCCATTCTCTCGTTTTGCCTCTCAAACTCTTGCATTATTTTCTGGAGTGATGGAAGATTCATCTGCCTATTCATTTGCCCCATGGCCTTTGTAACTCCTTTCATTGCTTCTCCCATGGCTTGTGTTGATTTCAATGTCTGCTTGTACATGAAGAACGATTATTAGTTACAGTATAACAAGAAGAAAATCTATATGAACACTACAATAAGACACTGGTGCCCAATCATCAAATACATTAATCGCTATCATGGCATGGATTCGCATGCTGCTGAATCAGAAAAAAAATACTGTAAAGAATGAGAATTTTGACATGCCTGAATCCTCAAGGAAACACCCTGAAGTTGCGATTTAAGCTTATAGAACTTCTCAACCTGATGTCTTGTTCTAATCAGATCTTTTGCCATGATTCTGACAGCTCCCTGGCAACAAAAGAATTCATAAAATCATACATCAAATTTGACAAATAAAATGCGCACAAGACTCCTTCAATTAATTAAAAAAGCTAAAAAGCCAAGAACATTCCAATATTCAGCACTGTACAGCTTCACATGATGATATATATAAAGTTTCTCCATAAAATTTTCTTATTTTCAGATGGTAAAAGATGATCACTATCAACATCACCCAATTGCATCTCAGAGCTCCAACATATGGCAGGGTAAGTGGAGTCAGTACACGCAAGCCTTTACCAGTATAATTATAGGCAGTTTATACTCCATAAAAATTGTTTTTTTTAGCATGTTATACATATCAACTATGTTACACTAGGTTTGGATAACGATAGTAAAGAGGGAACGGGACAGGAAGGAAAAAGAGGGAAGAGAAAGGGAAGTGGAAGGGAGGGAAAGAGTGACCTTTCATTTTTCCTTCCAAATCTCTCCAACAATGAACAGGTTTGGTTAATTATAAGAGGAAATTTCCTTTCCCATCTTTTGCCCTATGGCATCCAAATAAGGGAGAAGTTAGCCCTCACTTTCCCTCAAAATCTCCCTATTTAAATATAGTGTAAGATACTGCTAGAAGTGTTAGGCGTGGCCACACGGGTACATATCCAAATGTCACACAACCTTCCTATGATTTTTTTTCTTTTTTTTTTTTTGGCTACTTTTGTCCCTAAATGAAGTGTTCAAGAGCCATACTAATGTCAATGTCCAAGGGTCGACTAATCGACACGGGCAGTTTGGCAGTTGAGGTGCAATGAAGAGTCAGAGCAACATAGTAAATTAGTAATCACTACCATGTACCATCATCACCTCTATGCTTCAAAAGAGCTCCCACATAGGGGTAAAGTGAGCGGACTCATATATAAGGAAACAAACCAATGTAATGATAGAAATACTATTGTCATTAGGTCCTTGATTCTAAACAGAATGACTGTACTGTTTCACTATTCAATAAAAGGAACATACAGTTTATTGCCTCATCTCAATTCAACCTATCATAACCTTAAGTTTGACATTAGTAAATGTTTCATGTTTTGACTAGTTTTTCTACAAAACATTCAAGCACAAAGATTAATGCCACGAACACAAACTAACACGAAATGTAAAATGAGTAAAATTGACAAACCATTTGCCCTTGCTTAGCACTCTTCTTGATTTCGGCAATTAATTTCTTCTCTTGCGTTTGTAAACCCGCTCTCTCCCTTTCGATTTCTCGTATCGACTTATCCAACATCCTCTTATTCTCCCGCAGAAGCTCTATCACACAAAATCACAAACACACTTCAAAAATCTTGCATAGCTAATTACCCAATTAATATCAACACTAACAAAAACAACCAAATCCATCTCAAGAGTTCAAGATCATCACATATCACTAAAGGAGGAGCCACAAAACATATTAAGAAGTAACAAACAACTGCATTAAAGATGAAAACAATCACTAACAAAGCAAATCTAGTTACCTAATACTCTAGTAGTATATAAACCTTAAACTCAAACAATCGAAATTATTTCTAAAAATCAAACAAAAACCCTAACCAAGCAAATCCAAATTATATGAAATTGAATACACTAATCTACAATGCAAAATTGCAAATAAACCAAATATTACAAAAATGATCAAAAAAAATTGGGCCGTCAAACAATAGAGATCAGATTAAAAACAAAAAGAAGGGGAATTTATTACAAAAATAATCATAAAAATTAAAATAGAATATGATTAACCTGCAGGAGTTTTGCGTTTTCCGAAGATGAAACTCATATTGATTAACTCAAATCACGCCCTCTTAATTTTCGATCGAAAAATCAAGAAATTGCAGGAAAATTGAATAAAATTAGGGGATTTTCTCTTTTGAATTAGATTAGATGATGAAATTGATGATAAGAGTTGAAAATAGAAGGAGGATAAAAGGAGGGGAAGAGGAAGGAAGGTGCGAAGGCGTTGAAAGCCTAAAGAACAAAAAGGTTGGTTGCTTAACGCGGAAATTATTCCCACTGGTACTACATGACATTATTACTGGATCGTCTACGCTTGGGTGTAGGGTCATACTGTGTGTTTTATGGTGGGTTGCTGACGTGGCCTATTTTTATTTGTTGCTGTTTTTTTTTTTTGGATGATGGTGGATTGTTTTGTTTTGTTTGTGTTTTGTGTTTTGTTAGTCAAGGATTTTAATTTTGATGTTCCACTTCATTTTATTTTTTTTTTTTGAGGAAAAATAAAAAATGGTACTCCATATAATTCAATCCAAACCTTATACTCACTCTATGTCTGTTTGTTTGGGTAGTTGTGCTTATAAGGATCAACCCTTTATTAGCTTTGGCAACAAATCGTCACTAAATTAGTGGATTATTAAGATCATGCGAGATTTGCTACAATGTTTATTTTTAGAATACCAAATTTTTATAATTATAAGGGTAATTAACGCGCGCTATAAAGCTAGCCATGTTCGAGGACCTCTTTCGATTTGGTCTTATGGTGCAAATTTAGTTGTTGCCAGCATTAATGAGTGAAAGTACGTAAAGGGTACAAATGTTCGCAACTATTTTTAAAAGATTATAATTAAAAAAAAAAAAAAAAGCCAATTACATTAATGAGGGCAAGTCAGTAAATAAATTTTTAGAGGTTATAATTGTCCAAACACTATTCATACGAGTTGTCTCAAACTTTTTAAAATGTTGTATTACGTGTATAAAGATATTTATGTTTTAAAACATACTCGTATATTGAAAACCATGAAAAGTCAAAAAATAAATTAAAAAAATAATAATAATAGGACAATAGAGTATGGAGTAGTTAATTTAGTTGTGCATCTGTACTTTCTTCGTTTTTTTTAAAGTGTCCCACTTTTCAAAACTGACCGTTTTTATTTTTATGTCCTATTTCCAAATTTAAAAACCCGACTTACATTATATAATTTCTCTCTTTCTTTTGACCCCACTATCATTTTATAATATTTCTTCCTCTCACATTATACTTAGGGGTTGTTTGGTTCACTAAGCTGGAATTGATTTGTATGGATTCTAATACTTGGGTGGTATGGATTTTATATCCCATACCAATCTAAAGTTGTTTGGTTTATTCGTGGAATGGATTCTCATATTTCAGTAATAGTATGGATTATGAATCCTTGGGGGAGGTAGGTATGAGATTCCAAGGAAATGAGGTGGAGTTAGAATCCTCCAGGCATAAATTTCATACTTAAATAGCCCAACCAAACAAATAAAACCATGGAATGGATTCTAAATCCATTCTAAAAAAAGTTCAACCAAACACCATTAGTAGTCCCGCGTTTATAATTCTCTCTTACTTTTTCAATTTTATTATTCCTAACCACACCATTTACATACTTCGTATTACTTTATTCTTTTGCTAAAAACTCGCGCATACCTCAATGGGGTACTTTAAAAAAACGGAGGGAGTAATGTATTTGTTAGAATCATTAAGTGTCTTGATCATTTTGTAAAGGGGAATTCTGAGTGTACTTTAATTTGGAGTATTCGCTAGTTTTTCTAATGTGGCGATTTAATTTTTTAAATCTAAAAAAAAATGTAAATTCTTTTTTTCATTGGAAAATAGGGAGTTTTACTGAAAATAAAAATTGGACTTGTCTGATTGCCAATATAAAATGGAGGAAGTGAAAATTCATGGGATTTTATGAGTTGGAAACTTGTTTGGTTTACACATAAATGGAAAAATGGAGGAAGTATAAATTCATGGGAATTTCAACTCCCCACAACACGGGAAACTCCCCACAACATGGGAAGTTAATTCTCTTGTCCCCCCTTAATCAATTAAAATTCATGGAATTTTTAAATTCCCACATTACCAACCAAATAAGGTTAGTAAATTTCTAGAAATTTCATTAAAAAAAATAACTTCCCATAAAATATAAGTTTCTATGGAAATTTAATTCCCACGTCAACTAAACGAGCCACTCCGTATCACATGGCTAATTTTGCTTATTAGTGAAAAGAATGTGTAATAAAAAATTAGTGAAAAGAAAACTACTTCGTCTGACATTCGCTTTATTGTCGGTGTTGAATTCGTGAATGATGGCTTGATGGGCTAAGTTTTGAGTTGAACGTCAAGCCTGCAACCGCAAGTTGGGCTTTATCCCAATATAAAAATTGATGTGCGATACAAGCTAAGCCTAATACAATGAGGTTTTTCGTCTTTTTTTATGATGGATCTAGAAGTCCATCTAATAGCAAATATGGTCTATATTGATTATGAACTACGGAGTAGTAGTATTAAGCTCTCTTAAAGTACTACGTAGTATTTGAAAAAAGAAGGGAGTCTAGGTTAATCTTTGATATTAATATTTTAGTTAATATCTGAGATTAACATTACAGTTTATCTTCTCTCACAACTTTATGCATTGATTTTTATGTCACTTTACTATTTCAATTTTATCATTTAAAAAATAAATAAAAAACATTATATTGTGAGAGGAGATATATTTACATATTTATCTCATTAATAAACTTAGATTTTCCCATGAAAAAGTGTTGATTGGTTTTTTTAGGTAAGGACAATTCCCTTGTAAGTTGTAAGGGTCTGTTCTATTCACCTTATTTTCACTTATTTCAGGTCTAATAAGTTTAATTAAGTTCAAATTAGGAAAAATAAGTTTTGATAAGGGTTGCTCTAGTTCAAATTACAACTAAAATAAGTTTTAATAAGGTCTAATAAGTAAAATCCAGGTGAATAGAACACACCCTAAGGGTCTATTCTGTTCGCCTTATTTTCACTTATTTCAAGTTTAATAAGTTCAGAGAAATTCAGATAAGTTAAGTTCAGTTTAGGAAAAATAAGTTCTAATAAGGGTTACCCAAGTACAAATTACAACTAAAATAAGTTTTGATAAGATTTAATAAGTTCAGATAAGTGATAATCAGGTGAATAGAACACACCCTAAGTAGAGAGAAAATTAGAAATCGCACTTACTTGCAAGTTAACGCTTAAGAGTAGAGAGAGAAGGTAAGGGAATCCCCCTACTCCATAGCAAATGTAGTTGATGGGATTCGAACTCGTAACCTCAGAGTCATAAAGTGAGTTTCCCACCGACTCCACCAAACTTGCTTGGTTAAAAAGTAATGATTGAATTGTTGGTTAGAGAGTATGAATTCATAATGTACTTGGTAATTGGTATACTTATAATACTTAGGTACTTATTCCGTTTTCTTTTATTTGTCTTACTTCAAATCTTGAGACATCCTTATGAAAATGAAATATAATATTTTAAGGGTTTTTCATTCCTTCATGTTAGATTTATCTTGATATTAATTTTCAAATATTTAATTTTTGAATTTTCAATAACACATAATATCAGATTTAAATTATAATATTGCATTGCAAAATGTGCAAAAATTAAATAAGACAATTTTTAAAAAAAAAAAAAATACAGAGGGAGTACTATGAATGATGGTTAGATCGATTGATAACACCATATCAGATATTGTAAAAAAATTACTATGTACTTCCTTCATTTTTATTTAAAGACTATTCTTTGACAATCGTACTTGTCCGTTTATGGGTATTTTGTAGATTAATAATCACTTAACAATCTAAAAAAAATTAGAAATAATAATGTACAACTAAAAAGAACAGTTGACTAAAACTATGATCTCTTTTCATTTTCTCTGAATTGGTTGCATGTTAAGACTAAAGAGAACGGTTATATATAATAACAGGTTTATTTGATTTTTCATTTTTTTCCTTTTGTACCTCCCTGAGCTGGATCCGCCATTTTGTATAAAAACATTGGTATTTTATTGAATATAAAATTCTAAATAAAAGTTTTATTGAAAATAACTCTTAAATAACTTTTTATCCTACTAAATCTATTCAAATTTTATTGAATATAAAACTCTAAAATAACTTTTTTTTATCCTATTCTACAAACAATAATTCAAATAAATCCTACGTGTCATATTAATAATTAATTATTACCTACGTGGCATGACACTTGGCAGAAAATTAGAATGCCAAATGTCGTTGTCTCGTGCCCTGACTAAAAGTTTAGCTTTATATATTAGTTACTAGTTTTGTACCCAGGCGATGCCTAGATTGTTGATAAAATTTCAGTATAAACTTTTTTGCTTGAATACTAAATACGGTCCTACAATCCCTTTTGATAATGTAAGATATGTAGACATACGATGCCATATCGCTTATTTAATTAAATAATAGTGTATTCTTTTTAGTTTTGTTTGTGATTTGATATCTATGTTATTATTGACTTAAAATTATTTTTATTGAATTTAAATTATTATTTTTTTTACTAATTCTCTATTTTTTTAAAATAAATTAAATATATTATAAATTGATCTTATTTTAAAGAACTTTTTGAAACGAATTTTATGATGGAAATAGAATCGAGTTATAGGATATTTATTAAAAGTTATGATTAATTTTGTATATATGAAATATTAAAAGTATATTGATAATAAAACTCTATACAACATTTTTATCTTACAAAAAACTAACCAAAATTCACTTACTTAGTATCATATGTGTCACAATAATATCTATTTTTCGCCTACGTGGTGCGACACTTGGCAAAAAACTGAAATGCTAGATGCCCGGATTGTTGATAAAAAAATTTAGGTTAAATTTTTTGGTTTGAATGTTAAATATGGTCAAATAAACCCTTTTGATAATGCAGAATAGTAATACCTTTTACCGTTTATTGCTTCCATTGTTCTTAAAATAAGTTGAAAAAATATTAATATGATCAGCATATCAAAATAAAATTAAAAATTATTGAAACACTTTTTAAGTGAAAAACCCATAAAGTTATAACACCTTGCTAACATTTATCTGAATTCACTTCAAGATTACCTTGTATTGTACAGTTTCTATTGTGTCCTAATTTATTAGTTTTTGACTTCTGTAATTTCATTAACAAAACCACAAACATACACAAAAATATTACAACCGAATATGAAGAACACCTGATTCAAAAGCTTTAATGGTAAATCAATGGTAGACTAAAAAAAAAAATTAATGATACATAGCCAAATTTATAATTATAATTACGTGGTTATTCGTATAGGAATAAAATTCTATTGTTAATTGGATATTCATATTAATTATAATGTGTGGAGTGTTGCTATAAGTATCTATTGTCAATAAAAAGATAAAAAAAAAAATTCAAAAGAATTATAAATTATTTTATGTATACTTTTTTATCTTAAACAAATCTATCCAATCTAACATAATGTGCACCTAATCTAATCACAATAAATTTATTTTGTTGCCTACATGGCGTGACACTTGGCGGAAAACTAGAATGCCAAGTGTCGCTGTCTCTTAGCTTGGCTACGAGACCAACATTATTTATTAGTGATATGATATGATATGATAGTTCTACGTATTACTTCCTACAATTTACTTTTTCACTAATTACACACTTTTATAATCTTTGACTAATATATTTAAAATAAATGATACAGTATCATATAAAGTGTTATTAAATAGAACTAGAAGTTAATAAAAAGTTTTACTACCTCCGTTAAATATTAGTTGCAACTTTGAAATATTTTATATCTCACAAATATTACCCCAAAGTTGCAACTAATATTTAACGGAGGTAGTATAATATTAACTTTCTAATAAATTTTATAATGTTTGAATATATATACTCTCTCCGTTCCTAAAAGTTCGACTCAATTAGCATTTGCGCGGTCTCCAATGAACATCTTTGACCATGAATATCTCTAGTTATGTATAAGTGATAAAAAGTTGATAGTTAGAAAATTTGTAATAAGGAGAATCTAACAAGATCTCACATGTTTATTTATTTCTATTGTATAAATCATAAAATATGGTCAAAGTTATTTTAGTTTGACCACATGAATAGTAAGTAAGTCGAACTTTCAGAAATGGAGGTAGTATATAGAATTGAGATCATGTGAGAACCAAGGTGAATAATAGGAACAAGGAACTTAATTGATCACACTCCATTTAACGATCGAAATCTCGCCCGCTTCATTAAGGGCAAAATAAGGAATTCAGCACTTTGAATGACTGTCTCTAATCTTCCTGATTTCTTATTTCTTTTTCTCTCTCTTATTCACACTTTCTCTCTCTTCCAGCTAATTCTATCTTCTACGATTCTTTCTTTGCTCTTCTCTAATCAAATTTCTTCTCCAATCGAATTCTTGAGGTTGTTTTTCGATCTTTGTTGCTACTATGACTAAATCTGGACAAGTAAGTTGTTTGTTTTGATTTTTTTGTTCTTTTTATTCGATTAGGGTTTGTGTTTTGTAGTTTTGTAGTTTTGGTTGATTCGAGTTTTTTGAAATTAGGGTTCTCGTTATTTCCAAGTGATCGAAAGTGATAGACATTTTGATTAAATTAGATTGTTGAAGAATCATGTCGAATGATGATAAAGAAAATAAGGAGTTGGATCTTAGCTATCCTAAAGTACAGTTGAAAAAAAGGGGTATTATGGTTTGTTGTTAAGAGTTCAATGAAAAAACTTTCTACCAAAAGAGACTAAATTAAACCCAAAATAAGAAGATTAAACTAGACACTCTAAAACGAAGATGAATAACAAGATTATAGAGATAATAATGGAAAAAAGCACTAGGGAGAGGGGGTTCCAATCATGAACAACAAGACACTAATGAAAATCAATAAGGAAATACACCAAGGAGTTCAAACTCTACTCAAAGCAATTCATTCTCATGCAACTACTCAAAGCAAGTTGATGAAATCAATCAACCCTAAACTAGATCATTCTCATGCATCTAATCTAGGACTAAAACATTGGGGTTATAGGTGCACACAATAACTCCAAGCATTTTTAAGCACAAATCATCAACTCAAGGTAAAATCCAGTCAATAATCAATAGGAACTCAAATAGACATGATTTTCACCCCCTTCTCTAGCTAAAATCTAAGCTAGAGAAAGGAAAATAGCCATGACAACTAAGCTAAACATATATTCAATACTAACACAACCTAGCATGATTCTAAGTCATAGTGAAATCAATAAAACCAATAGAGCATGGAAATTTATGGAAGAAAGCATAAATAAGAGCAATAGAACTAGTAAAACTAACAACTAGAGAATAAAGAGGAAAGAATACTATTATAAAAGTTGAAAGATTACCCAATCATCAAAGTTGTTGCAACAATCTAGAAGAAAGCTTGAATATTTGATTACAAAGATTAAATCTTGAAGACTAAGTGTTTTCTCTCTACAAAGTGTTTTGATGGCAATGAAATAGTTGATGATTGAAAACTCAAGCCCAAGACTATTTATAGTCTTCTATTATAATGAGGAAAATGGGCAAGGGAGAAGGCTCTCCGAACAGGCTGTCGCGCCCTCTCTAAGCTGGGTAAGAGGTTCGCCAGACCCAGAGTGCCGCGCCCGCGGCTAGCCATCTCCAGAATCTGCTTCATAGCTCAGTAACCCCCTGTCTGCGCCCGCGGCTAGCTGTAACAGCGCACCCTCTCCTTTGTAGCATCTCCTCTTCCCTTGGCAAGCTTCCTTAGCATCTCCACTCCATCAAACGATCCAAAATTTTCCCACGAGTGCTAGGAGCTATCAAAACACACAAATGAAAGGTAAAATGTAGAAGAAAAGATAAAAGGGAAAGGAAAACACGAGAGGAAACTAAAGTAACTAAAAAGAAGTAAAAGTGGTGAGAAGAGGCATAAACAAGTGACAAATCGGGGGAATTCTCTAATGAAAGAGGGTGAAATGGTGGCATAAATGCCACTCATTAGCAGTGGCTTCAAAATGAACAAAAACAGAAAATACACCTATATATATAATGTAATCGAAGGGGAAAAAAATCATACATTTTTTGCTATTGACCATGTCTACCTCTCGCCCTCCAATCATTTAACATATCTTGGGCTAATTTGTTTCTAAAATTGGTCCAATGATCCGAAGTAGCAACACTTGTAATAAATTCCAATGATCCGAACTAACAAAACTTATACACTCACAAAAGAATGAGCTTCACTTACCTCGAGGTACCCTAAAACCGTTTGGTCTAGAGAGAGCATTGCGAAGTACACGCATATCATGGGCCGAACCTTCCTAATCAGGAAGAACATAAATAAATTGCAAATTGGGTGCACAAACACCCAATACATTCATAACAATTGTTCCTTTTCTTGTTCTATACTTTGGTCGTTCTTGTGAAGGCACATTTACATTAATGTAAGTCCCATCTAAATGCCCCTAAAAAATTCTACAAAAATAAGAAAAAATATTACTCACAAACAATAAAAATTAAGAAAATCCTAGCAAAATTTAGGGGTTTAGATAAGACCAATACCTTGAAAAATTTCCACCTTTCATCTTCACAATCATCCAATACTGGTGTGGGATTGTAAAGTAATACTTCGTATAATTTGAGAAAAACCCTTAGACAAAGGTGAAATTGTCGGCTCACGGTTTCTCCACTTCTAAAGAAATATTATCCAATAGACCTATTCTTCTTATGGTGAGCCAACGTGTATAAAAACATGGCTACAATCTCTTGAAGCGACATGTTTTTTGTTCCACTCAAACCCCCAATGTCTCTAAGCATCTCACAAATAATATTGAAAAGTTCTTCTATTAACGCGAAGCTCACTCTTGCATTTCACATCACTCTCTTTATAAAGCCCTCTCAAAACTAACATTCGTAGCAACTTTTTGTTTCTTTTTCTTTCTTTCAATTGAACACCCTTTATTGTAACAACACACATCATATGCCACATCCAATACATCATCAAAATAATAATAATAACCATTGAAATAATTAGTTGTATTTGTTTTAGCTTTTTCTTCCTTATGGAACGCATAAGTCGAGGTATTGTAGAAACCTTGAAAAACCAGTCCGAAAAATATACAACAGTATCAATATACACTAGTATCACAAATAACATATATTAGCCATCAAAAACCATAAATTTAGCAACTAATCTGATATTCATCAAAAACGTATCATATATTACCCATAAATAAAAATCAATTTAGTTAATGATTAATAATTTGCACTTAAACAGATGCATTTAGTTAGTAGCAGAAGATAAGGTTGTCCATGCAACACTACATTCTACTTTGGGATAAATAAGAAATCATTCTGGAAAAATCAGCTTGTAATTTTAAGGAGTAAATTGCAACAAATAAGTCAATAATAGCAACGCAAGCAAATAAGTCGAATCAAATAGTATGCTAGTAACAAGAAAATTAACCAGCAAAACCATCCCAAATCAAAATTCTAATTAAAATTAGAAACTTCCTGATATTGGGGAAAATTTAGGGGGAAAACCCCAAATAACTAGCAATTACAGCAATAATAGCAATATATACCATCAAATTCAGTAGAAAATCAATAAAAATAGAATAAAATTTTAATCAAACAAGCAAGTGTAGAATTCAAACCAGGAACGACAATATTCATATCGCATTAACCCTAGAAATTGAACGAGAGAAATTAAGATAGCAAACCTGTGATGATTTTTGAAGATTTGAAGTAGATAATTGAAAATTTTGTAACAAAATCTGAAGAATCGCAACTTTCTTTATAGAATCATCGATCAAATTTAGGAATTTTTCAGAAAATTTTCGAACGAAAGAAGAGAAGAGAGAAGAGTTTTCTTTATTTTTTGTGTTAGAGGAAGGAAAAAGAATCTGTTTCCTCACTTATTACACTGGAAACAATTTGGTGGAATGGGTTACCACCTACTAACGATTTGTGTTACTTTAGTCATTAACCAAACACATTGTAATGGAAACACTAACATGATTTCGTTTCCACTACTCTAAAAACCTTATACCAAACACCCCCTTAGAGTTTTATATTTATTTTAAGAGATAACCTATGTAAGAATTGAACCTACATCTCTATGCATCCGCATAGTGCTCTACCTTTTGAGCTAATAGGTTTTAGCTAGCACAGCTTATGGTTGAAGGATTCAATAAAAAAAAAAACTATCACTTGATGTACTACTTTTTTTTATTTTTTATTTATTTACGTTAGAACTATTATGATTTACTTTTAAGGTATTTTGGTTTACTTCTGTGTTTTTTCAGTTAATTTTAGTGACAACTAACCTATGGAAGATAGTCCCAATGATCTATGCTCTTGACTTTACTATCTTGGCCTAAATTTCTACACATAGCACACAGCCAAAATAATCAGGATTTTCAATTTTGTTTGGTATAAGATTAAAATTTTGAAATAGATACGCCATTAGAATTTAGAGCACCTCCAATGAAAAACAAGTAAATGCTAATAAATCAGTTTATTTTATAAATTGCAATAGAGGCATCTATAACAACATAACTTAAACCATTATACAAGAAATATCAACATCCATTTACTTTTAATAAAACAAAGTTTACTTTAAAAGTGAACAAATTTCCCATTAGATTCATCTTTTCTAGCACCACTCTTACCACCTTACAAACCAAATCAGCCACCACACACCATACACATATTCAAGCATGAAAACTTCACAATAACTGACAACAAAATTCTTAGCCTATTATAATTTTAGTGGGTCTCAAGATTGTTTCCAATCAATATGTAGTTTGCAAACTCACCAAAATTCACAGAAGTTTGAGCGCTAAACCTCAAAAAATACATGAGAAACAAACACATAAATCAATAACTTCAAGTATTAATCAAGGCTTTAGTAAAATCAGTTCACAAAATTTCTTTTAAATCACAATAAATCATCCACAAGATATGAGAAGATCACACAAATTTAAACTCCACGATTCATTAAATTGATGATTAAAACAACCACTAAAATACCGAAAATTAAACAAAATTAAGCGTAACACTCACAAGTTTCTGATTAGACCAAATAAATTTGCATCGATTTGATGAAAATAGACCTAATCTTAACTAAAATTACTACAAACTTAATAAATTGTGAGCATTATTCTGATTATACCTATTTTGAGCTCGATTTTGCATACTCAACTTAGATTTTGCGTGTTGTAGAAGAAATTTGAATCAATTCACCAAACTAAAATATAACACCTTCAATTGTAGCAAGGTCTAGACGAATTTGAAGCAAATTCTACCCAATTTTGCAACGAATCCAGCAAAAATTGTAGCAAATTCCATATAATCGAGTTGTTGATTGAGGTGAGGAAGCATGAAAATGGTTGAGGAGATCAATAATGGCGTTCGTGAAAATGAGAGAGAAACGCACGGAGGAGAGAGAAAATCGCGAAGGAGAGAGAAGAGAGTGGTTTTTGGGTTTTGCATTTGATTTGTTTGAATATATCCCAACCGTTGATGTAGCACGCGCCCATCCTATATCCGACGGTTCTGATTAGTTCCTAGTTCCTATTATTCACTTAGTTCACATTGTAACTTGGTTATATATATATATATATATATATATATATATATATATATATATATATATATATATATATATATATATATATATATATATACAGTGACAAGCGTATTAAATTTAATGGTATTATCAGTTATTATAAAATAAAGAGAGTGATAGAGTATAAAATATATTCTTGGGCTTCAACCATTAACTTAAGCTTTTGTTGAGTTGGTCCTATAACATGGTATCGGAGCCAGCGTGACACAAAGGTCACAGGTTCAAATTTCATCCATCTCTAAGTGGAATATTCTGCGCTGTGTATGAGGAGGGTGTATGCTGCATCTACATTTCAAGCCCAACATGCTTTCATGTGAGGCGGTGTGATAGAGTATTCTTGAGCCTCAACCATCAGCTTTTGGTTGAACTTCAAGAATACTTCATCCGTTCTAGTAATTATACAACAACTGGACTTTTACACTATTCATCACATTTGTTGGGTCTTGTTAGATTCGTCTCATAAAATACTTTCATAATATCAACTTTTTATAATTTTTATTCTTATATAATTATAGATATTTAGCATATAAAATGTGTTTTGAGATGCGTAATATCATCCTTGTTGCAATATTTGTGGAATAGAGGAAGTATGTTTTACTTTCTATTAGAGAGTAATATAAAAAATAAATAAAAAATAAAAAAATCAAATGTCACATACTATTAAAATTAAAGATGATTTAAATTATTCAATGTACATTATCACAAGATTAAGTTTTGAAAAGGTAAACTAAATTTAACTTAAAGATAATTACCAACATTATGGTGATTTTAGTCAATCCTCCATATAGGGTTTAGTCGGTTCCCTAATGGTGAGATTTTCAATATTGTTTGTTTGTTTGTTTTTCGTGTGTACAGGGATATAAATTTGAAAGATTCGTCTTGCGAATTTGTGAAATTGCGGGTCTATTGGTTTAGGGGTGTAGATTTAGAAGATTCGTCTTGCAAGTTTTATCACTTTTATGACTATACATTAATGGAGCTCCGTCAAGAACAATGCAAAGACATTTAAAATTATTCAGGAGCAGTTAAGAAGCGATGTCATTAGTTTAAAAGTGATAAATACTTATATTGATCATTTAGATCTTTTAACGGATGATTATAAGTGCCGAATAAAAAAATATAAAAATAATTTCTGTGGCAATTTAGAAATGAAAAATACAGTATTTTTTTTTTAACAAAATAGAGAAAAATTGTCACGCTATGAAAGAGAACATGTCTGAAGTCCCTCCAGAAGCGTATGCGTAAATCGGCATCGTGTTTATATATTTACTGACGCAGTCAGAGATGTACACGTACACATGCGCACGTGGTACCTCCAACAGTAGAAGTGGGGTTGACAACGACACTCGCCAGGTGGTCACGTGCGGTTTTGTCTCTGTCCTTATCTTTTTCATTTTTGCACGCGGCCCATCTTTCATTAATAAGACACTGTTCATTCTTCATTTACCAAAGCATGGATTTGGACCACTTACCTTTCTTACCTTTTTTTCTTCTTCTTGTAGCCCAACTTCTTTCTTTGGCCCAATTTCCATCAACGTCCCACTTATGATACTTTCTCGCAAAATAATGGAATATCTCCTTTATCACTTACTGAGTAACCCTATAAGTATAACACAGATAAAGTAACCCATGTAAAACTGACAAAGTATAACATCGTGATAGCTGGCGACATATAAGAACTAGAGTTATTAAAATCATCTTGATATATAGTTTTCAATTTTTTTTTATTTTTTTTTATTTTTAATTAAACAACTTTAAAATATTAGCGATGTAAATCAAAAAGTGTGAGAAAACATATGAGTACAATAAGTACATACATGAGTACGTGGAAAGAAAATAGAGAGTCTACATTTTTTTTTTCATGTATAAGTTTATCACTTAAGTAGAGTGCTATAGTGATGATAATGGAAATTTATGAGAAATTAAAAAGAACATCTTTACCATGAGCTATACATACGCTCTTCTCTCTTTGTTAATGTTGTAAACATGTAGCTTGGTGTTTTTTTACTCATTTATATAGCATATGTCAAATTGTCGATACTTTTGTATACTTTATTGAGACGTTAACTATTTCTTTAATTTTTTTCCCATCCTACTATTAGATACTTTTCAAGTTTTCATTCTAGAAGAGTTAGAAAAATAAAGATAAATTGATAAAGGAGGGATAAAGCAAGCGAGATGGAGTAAATAAGGTGGATTGGTGTACAGAAACGTGGGTAAATTAAAGTTAGAGATAATGAATATGATCTATTGATTTGAGGAAAGAGTAAGAATATAAGATAATAGACAGGTGAGTACATTGTGAAAACTAAATCAAATAAAATTGTGCAGTCTGTGCTTCTCTGTCTCCTCAAAAATTTATTTTATTTTATTTTTTTAACAAAAATCCAATACTCAAGAGAAGATAGAAGAAAAAAACAATATACGTACTCTACTATGTTAAGCAATTCAAACCCTACAACAAAATAAGTCATGCCTTGCAAATTAAAAACTCACTCAAAATACCCCATAATGTAAAATGTCAACCCTCATCGGTCAAACCCTCGATCAACACTTTAACTACTCATCCTCCATATAACAAATACATCCTAACACTAATGCAAAATTGTTTTGCTTCTTATTATTAGCGATAGTGCAATCATTGAATATGAGGAGTACCTTCTTACACAATATGCATTAAATAATAGGAAATTATGTTCCAACTCGTATAGATTGAAATCTGGAAATTACTTTTTCTTAGGGTGTAATTTACTCAATTTTCACTTATTTGAATTTAAATAAATTAATCACAATTACAACATCTTATTTGAACTTATTTTAGTTGCGAATTGAATTTGAATAGTTTTTATTAACCCTAGCTTGTTTGTACATATTTTTCTAAATTTTCGGAACTTATTAATACTTAAACGGAGTGATTTTTTGTATTAAATGAAATAAGGTGAAATAAATAGAACTCTAATCCTTATTATCTAAATTATTCACTCAATCAAATTATTGAGTGAATATCTTTTTGAGGGTAGGTTTCAATGTATTTAGCTCCATTACAACCACATATAAGTGGTTAATTTATTATTTATATATTATTCACCATAATTAATTACTCTACATTATTATTCAACTACAAAAATCTATTGGATTCATCATAAACACTTATTGCACATGCATAATGCTCCTCCTACTTTGAAAGTGTACACTCAAAATTATTGTATCAACATTATATGAGTGACTAAGGACCAAAATTAGGCTGGCTAGATACAAATTTCTAGAGTTTAAAATGTTTTTCTTCAAATTATTTGATATGAAGTAGATAGCAAAAATCTGTGGTTGGAGAACAAAGGTAACCCCACATAGTTAGAATGAGGTTATAGCACAAGATCAATCCATGCACCCCTTCCAAAAGACAATAATATATATGAAAATTGAAAAATTGTACCATATCAAGGACAAAATTGTAAGTGCATCCGTATCAATTGTTGGCTATTTGCTCTCTTAGGATTTTGTACATATGTAGTACTACAGTAGTAATGTTAGGTTGGCAAGAAACATCATTTTGTGGTGCCTAGCTATATGTGTTTTACATCATATGTTCGTGTTTTGAATTAATACATAGTCGATCAGCGTCTGAATATGTATTGTAACAGATTAAAGATATGTATATAGTATACGAGTAGTATATTAAAATGTACTGAAAATATTACGTCTACATTTAATTGATCTGATTAATGTTCATGTTGTTATTAAGGATGTTTTAATAACAAATTGATAAATAAATTCAATTATATACTCAAATTTATTAGGAGGTTAAGAAGATAGAAGAGTTATTAATTTCTGACAAAAGGAGTATATATATATTGATCACTTCTCTTCCACCAATCAATTGGAATATAATGCCTTATCCTAGCTCATCAGCTTGTATAATAGGGCTCACTCATGCTGACCAAATGTTTGTGCATTGACAATTATTGTTCTTCTTCCATCACCCCTAAATGTAATGTCTACTTGTGTTTGAGTCGAATTGAAGGAATGCCATGCACAAGTTTTGTGTATGCCAACTCATTTATTTCCCTTTTTTTATATATATTTTGAAAAGGAAATGAGGAGGAAGTTGACTAGAGGACTCCATTTCTTATCAAATCACCTCAAGACCTTAAAAGAAAACCAATATACAAATATAGAATTAGCATGTGGGTGTGTGGGACTAACACCATCTGAAATCTTAAAATCTTAAGATGAATGGAAATATAATAATACTCCTTTTGTTCGAAATTGATAATCATTCATGAGTCATGACCTAATTACTCAAAAACCTATAATAAGAGTGGTATTTGTCATTACCCAATTAGCAAAAAAAAAAAAAAAATGCAGTTTAATAAATTACAAATTATTATAATTACAATATATTATACTAAACTTAGCTAGTATGGTGAGTGACTATTATTTGGTAGATTATAAAATGAGTTTATTAATTAATATGAGTATAGAAAATAATTAAAAAATATTCTAAATAACAAATGAGGAAAGTAATTAGAAAATTAAATTGATATATATTGTGGATGAGTTGGCATGATCATAGTGGGGGTTAGGGTTTGGTGGAGAAAATCGAAAAAGGAAATGGAAGGACGGGGATAGATGTATAATATAAATATAAAAGATTTTAGTGGTGGAGTTTGCTAGATTGTTAGGCTCTGATACAATGTCAAGTTTTAGGGTGAATGATTTGCACTGTACAAGAGATTAGGCAACTATATACCAGCCTAATACTTGTACTTCATATTAATTAGCTAAAGCCCATGGCTCACTTAAGGCTATATGTACTTGCCATGCTAATTACACTATTAGCCTACAATACAATTATTGGCGCCTTCAGTCCGCTTCGGGTTCTTATCCGGATAATATTGGCTGCATTATTAAACTTATGTACCCTGTAA